AAAAAAAAGAAAATTCCAAAAATAGGAAAAATTCCATGAAAATATATGTCCCGTGAACAGCTGGACCGAATGGACAGCGAAAACGAACACGGGCAAAGAAAGAACCGGCGAATTAGCCTTTACGATGCCGTGGTTTATAAGAATAGTCTCGACACTGCTTCCGCACAGCTTCCACAGGAAAAACGCTTCGCCGATTGGCAAATCCTGGACTGCATCTGCTTGCTCACGTTCCAATGACTCTGAAGAGAAACGCAGTTCACAAATGTGATAAAATCCTCCACAAAAGACAAACATTAGAGGCATTTTAGCAGTGACATATCGCGGTTTGAGTCCTCAGTCTCACGCTAATTTTTCGCAAAGTAAAACTAAGAAGGAGAAAAAAAGAGGCACAAAAAAAGAAGGAAAACCCTAATGTTTTTTTTTACTTCGACAGAAGTAAATGATAATCAGTAAAAATTAAAATTTCTCCCCCCCCTCCCCCTCCCCCCTTATTCATAGGGAATCTGCGCACAAGCTATTGGCTATGCAAGAAAATTTCACAAATTTGTTCGAGACTGGACCGGCAGCGTTGCCAAATCCCTTTTGTTCTTATCTATTTCTGATAATTCTCAGCTGTTTCAGCAGGTTCTAATGAAGCTACGATAATCTTGAGTAAATAAATACGTTCCTCAATTTATAAACTGCGTAACAAATCCGAAGGATGAATCCTCAAACATACGCACCTGTTATTTTCTTCGAAAAACACAACTTACCTTTGAACATCTCTGCAATTTTCCTCGAAAAAAAAGCGCCTTCGAAATTCTGCCACCCATCAGTCATAATTATTTGCTGTACCAAAATGCGGTTTCTGTACTAATTAATGCCGTTTCTATACTAGAAACTATACCAAGTATTGAATGATTTTTTTTGGAGGGAAAAAATCTCGTCTTTGTTGCCTGTTACTGAAAAATAAGTTTACCTTTCATGGAATCAATACTTTCGTCCAAGTCGCAGTCCTCATCAGAGGCCGTTAAGTCGATGTTTAAATCTCGATTAATGTCAGCCCGATCACGCACAATCTGGAAATGTGATTATAAACATATAGCATCACTTCTGAAAACAACCACATCCAACCGAAGCAAAAAAATTTGTCTCCTAAATTTGTGTTTTTGAAAGCCCTCCGTAGACAGAAAACATCATCCTGAAATCTCAGCATCCCAACCCGTCTGGTTCGAGAGATAATCTTTCTTGCCAGAACTTTCATAGCGCCGTACTTAAAGACCAGGTGTACGTGAAACCTGAATCTGAGTTTACAGAGTGGCACTTTGGGCGAGGATATTCCCTTAAAATTTTAGCTTCCTAGTTTTTGTAGTCATCGAAACAATTTTACCCGTCAAAACTTTCACGGTGTCATGCGCGGTGCTCGGAGGTATGTGAAAATTCAAATTTTCGCAAGTAGAAGAGGAAAATTCTCCAAAAATTTCAGCCTTCTAGCTTTTTTGGTACCCGAGTTGAGAGCGCGGGACAAAACGCAATCGCGCACACACACACATATACACACACAGAAGTGTGACAATGTGCGTTTTGTGCTGTGTAGCAGCAGCATAAAATAAATAAAAACAGCAAGTGTGGTAGTTGTTGACGTTTTTTTGAACTAAATCAGCATACGTCAAGTAGCTGCTGAGCAGTAGGCCGTTGTGATGGACGAATGCACAATGCCTTCTCAAGCACCTGCAATACCGTGCTGTCCGAAATAACACAAATATTCGGCACCTTACGTCGAATTTCAGTCATGAGAAGGCCAAAGAGTGAACCATTTGGATCTGAAAAGAGTTCGGACATAAAATTTACACTGGCAACACTTTCGCCTATCGTTTCGTGAACAGTACTTACTGCTGAAGATATACAATGACCATCAGTAAAGCAAGCAACACCTTTGGTAGCCAGTGGCTATTTTTTGGACACAGTTTTAACTCATATCAAGTACAGATTTGAATCAAGAAGTCTCTGTAGTTCCATGGAAGCTTGCCTCCACCAGAGATTCCTATCAGCTGCTCCTATTTGACAGGTAGAATGATGCGGTCAAGCTCCATTTCTGAGTGAAGTTCCGTGACTGTTGTTATTTTACAACTGCATAGTTATTACCTTTCGCGTAATGTTCTTTTCCTTATTAGCCGCCAGTCGAGCAGCTGATAATGAAACAGTAGAATAGAAGGACTGGACTTAAGTGTCATGCGTATGAAGACATTTTACGATGCAGTCTGTCTGTGTGTTTCATCCCTTAGCTGTAAACACGGACCGCGCTTTGCATGCGGCTAGGAGCGGGAATGAAAGTGAACATTGTGCACTTTGACTAAGTGAGTACCGTTAAAAGTGACCAGCTAAAGTTTTGCCAGGTGCATTGGTCGCGAAAACAACCGGCTTGAAAATGAATTCAGCGGACGAAACGAACAGCGCGATAGCCACTGGGTTGAGGAGTATCAGGCGATGCAGCATTTACCAACGCAGTTACAGAGGTCAGCCAGCTAAACAGTTACGGAATTAGAGATGGGATACGTAAAACTGCCGCAAATGCCTCTAGAAAAGCACTTGGAAGCTAATTCACCGAGCTATTCAGGCGGGGTACAGCAGCCACATAAAACGGGAAATACCTTTTCGGATAAGCGTAGCCAACATCGAATAAAACTGATCTGGTGACCAGATTTCCGAAAGAAGGCAACCCTGAAAGCATCTTTTCAAGGAAGCACATGAAAACCATCCAAAATCGACAACATTTCCATTTCTAATAACATTTCTGTTTGTTGATGTTTAGACACAGAAGGGAAAAATCGCTCTTATGGGAAGGCATGATGCAGTGGTAAGGTTGGTAAAGGGAGAAGAAATATTCAGTGAGGGATCAATCTTTGTTGCAGACCATATGTAATCCGGAATATATTTTCAGGACGGAATCTTTTGTACACCGGTGATCGATTT